ACCGATGTGTCTCAGTGGTCTCCAAGTCAAGGGCCGATACCGCAACTTTGAACCATGTGAGTAAGGTACCAACAAAAAAGGGGGAAAAGGCCAACACCCATTTGGCTCACAAGTGAACAAAGCTAACACTGGAAATACAAAACCATAAATAGTCAACCAAGCCAAATAAGACGGTTGTAATTCCAAGTAGATATCAAGTACTCCTAATAGCGAAGAAATTCAATATGGGTGTACTCATCCTTGTTTTTTCTGTGACAAGTATACCGTCAACTTTTTTGAGGATTGCACATGGGCAAGGTGTGCTAAAATGCATCAAGGCTTGAAAAGTTAAGCATTGGTGTACCCCACACTAAAGTTGTCATGAGTCCTATGCCTCCTATTGTATTTTTCGTTCCTTTGTTGCTTATCAAAATGACTCAGAATGTATCTGTTGTTTTATGTTGTGTTCAATTGCATTTTGGTAGGTTTGTTGTCCCATTTGCTGCTCCATGTACCATTTTTGCATAAACTAAGTACAAATGTTTACATTTTCCTAGGTCAAATTGTTTTAGCAATGCGGTTAAAATGTCCAAGTGTTTCTGACATATTTTGTGGTTTATATGTAACTTATTTTTTCCCATAATGGTATTTTACAATTGGTAAGCACAAAAGAAAGAATCAAAATGCTCACATCTTTTGCCTTACGGATTAAACCAAGCTTCAAGGAAGCAAAACCCCATGCCTAAAACTTTTGTCTTTCAAAACTATTGGAACATTTGGAAAGAGAACCAGAATTTTGCCAGATGGTGATTAAAGACAACATAGAGAACTATAGGATTTAACATCAATAGGTATATCGTAGGCCTCTTTCTACCTATATCTGTAAACCAACCACCAAGATATATTGTTATAAGTCATACAGGGTTATGTGGAGCCAGTAGGTACAATGAAGCAGAATATGTATCAGTGGGCAACTATGTGGATAAAGGCAAACACAAAAATTCTATGGTTCTAGCAGCGACAGTAATGCAAAAAGTACTAGGACAGGAGTAAATAGAAAATGGAAGAAAAATTACACCAAACGTACATCTGAAAGTGTTGTCTCGAAGTGCTTTGATACGAATGGTTCCATTGCCGCTAGCAGGCCACTAGTCGTCGTTAACTCAATTAGACAACCCCACTGGTGGTTCAGCTCACTAATATTTGTTGCAGTGAGAATGACTACATTTAGACACTTGATCTACAAAACATAACCATGGATACTCAAGTTTTCACTCAATAAATCATATAACATATATGGGCAGACACAAAATAGTTGGTCAAAAAAGAAAAGAAAAAATGCATATCAGTCACAAAATAACAAATCTGAATATAAAAGAGCACAACATGGGCTATTGACAAGATGCAACAGAATGGACTAGCATTGAAAATAGACACTGAAAAATTAGAGACAATAAAGGATGGACATTGCTATCTTTCTCAAGCACCAAGAATAACTTTGCTAGGACGCAGTTAACCACAACCCTAAAAAGCCTGGAAGCTTGTGTAATGCCTTCTTCTCCAAATAGGACCAGAAATACCTTTTTTATGTTTTGATCAGGAAATGCATTGACAAAAATACAGCAATTAGAAACTGCAATACAAAAGTGTATAAACCATAACAAGATTGTCCCACACTAGCACTACTGCACGGGAATTCTGCCAGACGCAATCCTTTCACAGGAATAGCTTCAGGTACACCTATTACAATGTTCAACACCCAATAACCATTTTGGTCTCACAGTAAGGAAGACCAATCCAGTAACCCAAGCCTATTTGCAAGGTTTTTTAAGTCCACCAGTTAGGTATATGTATATGATCACCAACCAATACTAGCTTTGGCTAGATCGACAAGACAATAAATGTTTCAACAAGCTAGATCATCCCCAATTGGCTGAAACTCACAACGATCTTCGAACCAATCATAGGCTTTATTGAGATACACAAAGCTTTCCCTCTAAGAACTGTATGAAACACTTTCATCTCATACTGCTCAAGTGAAAACACTCGAACAGTAGTTGCAATGGATTTACAACAGAAAGTTTGAAACATCTTAATTTCTGATTCAATAGTCTCTGAAGGTAAAAGGAAAGGAAAAACCTCATTCAAGCTGTTGTTAGGTCCCCATGATTAGCAGCTTAACCCTTTTCTAATATGTGATATTCTTCAACATTGTGTCCTGCTTTTAAACTTAATTCAAAACAATTTCTAAAAAAATTAGAAACAAGAAAGAGGACGTCCTTCATGCTTCATTTCCAGCATTATGAGATGCACACACTTCAACACACGATACTCATACTCAGCATCAATACCCCAGTATAACTCTTATTTCATAGTTTTAATTTTTTGGCCAGGTAAAAGACATCACAGAGACAAATCAAACCTAAGGCAGAAATATTTTTTCTCTTTAACGAGTCATACATGGTATGGACTTTAATTTATAATGGCACTAAATCCTCTCGTCAGCATGCAAGTTAAAATGGCAGTACAAAACAACAGGATCACTAACACGCGAAATAGATCATCATAACCTTATTCATTTCCTGTCCATTCATCTTTCACAATAGCTTATTAACATCCAGCAGGATTTAATATCAGCAAATAAAAATGCTGCAAGTCCAGACTCTAAACACATACCAGAGGCACAGGCAGCTTTTCGTGATGCAGTAATTCTGTGATACTCTCGGGCAATTGAGCCATCTGGCAAACAAAAATGAAAAAAGGAAAAAATCAATCAGACCAATTTCATGCTTGAATAACTCAAAACCATGCAACTACGGGATATAGGGACAAATTTAAACTGTCTCTGTGATTGATTGATGACAAAGTTTTAACATTGACACTGGCTCCATAGTAGGCCCAAAGTACTAGTAGGATATGACATAAGTTGACAAGTGGATTCCTATATTGTGGATTCCTATATTGACAGTAATATTCCAGCACCAGATTTGCCAACTATAACATAAGCAGTGAAACTGTAATTTCCTGCACCCAGTGGTCGGAAATCTCTGCTGTTATCATTTTTCTCTCTCTAAACTTTGTAATTCTCCAAGCTTTAGGTTATCATGAAACCAGTCTCAGATAATTCATGCTTTCATAGTAAGCACAAAGACGGCAACATTGCATCATAAAATTTTAAGGAATTTCAGAAACAATCAGACGTTGAAATTGCAATACCTCGATCCGATCCCCGGTGCACTTTTCACCCATCAAATGTCTAAGACATTCCTCAAATTCTTCATCAGGAGCCTGAATTAGAAAATCGAAATTACTGAATGTTATTACTACTAGAACTCTGCAGATTAAAATGTACAAAATATTAGTTTTGCCATCACTATCTAGTTCATCCAGTCATGAAGATGATTAGCATATCGGAAACCTCTTCAAGAATATCAGGTTGATTTGGTGAGGTTTGGGCAAAAAGAAGTATGGTTTTGACCCATATCAGATTAGAATGGCCAATATCTTATATATTCTAAAAGTTTACAAATGCAGCTAAACAACAGGCTGATATGGCATAAGGGAAGGATCTCTTCAATAGATATGGCATACCAAACGAACACCAAATGCTTTCGCAATCCCTGCGACAGTAACATCTGAAGGCAATGGACCAACCCCTCCATATATGAATACCTGCAGCGGCAGCTCAATTTTGGTCCACACAAAGAATCAGATGTCAGAAAGACAAAGCACCAAAGGAGCTCTCTCTCCCCCTCTATTTTAAGGATCAAAATAGCTCTAGAACAAATAAAGGTTTACCATGTCATTTACGGACTTCTGTCTTTCTACTTCTTCCGCTAAAGAATCTACCTGGATTGAAAAGAGTGTCAAAAGGAACCAAAAACTAAACGGGAACCCAATAGAAGGGAAAATTCCAAAGCTCCTCAATGTTCATCATTTAAAAATGCCTAAATTAAGAAGCAGGACCATAAGTTTGTAGTCAGCTAAACAATAAAGATAAAGTTGGCACATGCACAACATTTTCAAATGAAATTGATCTAGTTCCATAAAGGATTCAGAAACTAATAAATCAAACTGAGCTGGGTACAAGACATAAATTGATATACATATATGCAGGTAATCCAAGCTTTCCTCAATCTTAATGAGCCAATGAATGTGACATCCAACCGTTTTTAAAATTATTCTCACAATACCCAACTTGCCTGCTTGTACAAAATGGAAGAAATTTCCATCCTATTGATGTAAAAGTGAAACCATACTAAAAAAGTTTGCAGTATACTTTAACACCTAGGTCAATATCTTTCATAGATTAGCACTCTGCAGCTATGTTGCTGGGACAATATTTCCATCTGATCATAATAGCTATATTTTTGTTCCCATAAATATATTCAATCATACATAATGATATTCAGGCACTGTGCAACAATCCCAGTATTTCTTTATGACATAATTTTCAGAATAATGGGAGGGTGTATACATTGTTACTGATAAACTTCTTTTTAATACGTAGATTATTTCTTATATCAGATAGTAATGCTGGAAAACTATTTCATAATGACTCACATCATTTCGGACAGCAGTAGTTTGTGATACCGCCCAACCTATAGAATGGAGCTTTCTACACAAGGAAGGTCCCAACTGGTCCTCAACAGTGCCAAACCTGAGCTATGGACCAAATAGACAAAAATAGATGTAAGTAATTGCAAAAACCAGGAATTATGGGTATCAGATCATATATAGCATCACATCATGACAATCTACAAACAAAACACAAAACAAAAACTTATGGCGGAATGTTCAGAAGTCAAAAACTACTAAGAAATTGCAATAAAATGGCAAAAAAGAATCACGAAGTGATTTAGTGACTGAAAGCAAATCCTAGAGAGACTAAAGTATTCAAGACAACAGAACATGTCAGAAAATAAAAACAAAAAGGAACATTTCAAGTCGTGACAAATCATAACAATTACAAACACACAAAACGTCATCGTCTACAAGAGGGAAGAGCATCAACCAATGCATTATGGACCACATAACAAATGACTCCGGAAAGGTAAACGCACAGAGACCTTCCCAATTGAACAGCGTAATAACGAGTAGCTTACAGAATCTCATCACCCACAGCAATGACCGAGGCTGTGCACATCATGTTTCGTTGCGGATCCACACTTTTCAGACCGTTGCTAACGGCAGGAAATAGCCCACAAACTGGAGGAGCAAGCTTTTTCACCCTTCCTGCTCTTTCTAATCTTCCGTCATGAAGCAGGTATGCAGGTCTAAATTGTTCTCTGTTATTGGTGGAATTGTTGATGCACAATAATGTGTTTGGAATTGTGTCATGTACGCTCCCAATAGAGGTATAACTGTGGACATGAAAAGCAAAACCACAAAGAATGCTTTATAGGAATCAAAATAAAGAAATCCTGTATGACTTCGAAAAGGAAGTCCACCTCAAAAGCATATTCTATGTTGCATGGGCTCTAATAAATGCATGAACTACACATGCTGGATACTTGTGACCTGGGTAAAGGTAAGTGATATGTTGTTAAACATGTCCAATTGTAAAACTCTCATTGATATGTGCATTTAGTTGCATCCTTGCTTCAAACGAGCGAAGAGCTCATGTTGAGCACACTAAACTATGAATTAGCTGTGTCCCTGTGTCACTGGATTTGGGGACTAAACAAAACCAATCCCTAGACAAACGACTGCTCCTGCCAAATGTCCATGTAACGTAGAACATAGCTTTTCTAAAAGAAACAGAAATCATATAAAATAAAATCATATCCTAAAATGAAAAAAAAAAAGTACATATAAAAAACAAGAAATACTCAAGAAGTATAGGTGTAGAATTACCCTTGATCATAGAGACTGCAGTATTGAACTTTGCAAGTCAAAAGAAAGGCCCATACGTCTCTGTCAAATTTAATTAAGGAAGTTAACCCTTCATAATGAAACTTCCAAACTCTATAAGCATCCACTTCATACAAAAATAAAATAGACAGGCAATAAAGAAAAACTTCCAAATACAATAAACACAAGGAATTTCCATTTTATGAGCTTGTAAGGCCTGTTGAACTCTCTGAAGAAGAAGGGCGAAGTTTGCCCCCTCTTATGTAAGTTAATGAAGAAGTTGTCTTTGTTTTAATCTTCCATTGAGGCTCGGTAATATCTTTGTCTTAAATTTGTCGTTCTCTTTTTGGATTGTATTTTCACTATTTTGGAGTCTTAGATTTTTTTTAAAAAAAATTCCGTGCCTTAAAACTGCCATCTAATTAAAGCCTTTATTACATCACCTACAACAAACCAAGTAGTAAAATGTATTATGGTAATCAATAAATGCCCCAGCTATTATTCATTTCCCAGTAGTGAATAAATTACTCTCCTCCAAAAAACCAGTCACTGCCTGCCTAAAGAATCTTAAGTAGCTTGGTACATAAGCACATGTATCCAAGCTCATTGTACAATAACATACCTGTATGACCAATCTAAGATTGGATTCACTCTCATGAAAGGAGGCCATCCAGACGAGCTAGGGGAGAATTGTTCTTGACCTACCTGCAAGATAATGATCAGATGCATAAAGTAACATTTCATTGTAATCTATCCTTCAAGCGAAGTTATGCCAAATTTGGAAGACAATCTAGTCTAGTTAAGAAATGTATTGACATACAGCAGTAGGATCACCAATTCGGACACCAAGAAAAATGGCTCTGATTGGTTCAGCCTTTAAAAGAGCCTCCAAACCAGACTTGAAATCCAGGCGAATAATATCCATTTGCAAATTGTAACTGATCCAAGAAACATATGTCAAATCAAAATCCAGATGCTTGAGATTATATATAGAACGGAATATATTCTCATGATCTATCTGTCAAACAGTAGAAACTTTGTTCTGAGGGAGGGGGGGAGTGAGGGAAAAAAAATATATAAGGAAAGCCTTTTCTCACGTAGAGGCAGTTTCATAAGTGAATGAGTTGATTTCAGAGAAGGCAGAAGAGCTCTCAAAATAAATTGTCCGGATAGGAAATTTGAATCCACAATCACTCAGATCCCCATTGCAATGACTTTGTTCCGCTTTATGCAAAAAATAGCCTGCCCTAAGCAGGTGTAATAAAACCTACAAACATCAGTTCCTTGTCAAACACTGACTGAGGAGACAAATTATTGAGAGCTTATCAGCTTACTCAAAACAAAACAATGCAGAAACTTACAGTTGAGTCCTTTCCTCCATTGAAACTAAAGGCGACCTCTTCAATACTGTCCAGGAAAAAAAAAATCAGTGCGCACCAAATTTATTTGAACACAGATGGACAACACTGAAGAACATTATTTTCATGCAGTTCATAGTGAAGAATTCATACGAAATACGTAAATAACATTTCTCATGTAATCAAAGCACCACATTTTTTGGACTTGAGAAACTGGTTACAGTTGTTTCCATAACACACACATGGGGAGAGGGAATAAGAGACCCGAATATGATAACAGCCAGGATGGTCCCAGAGCCACTGGGTCATCCCACGCCTTCCTCAATAAACTGAGAGCTTACTTGCTTATTAATTGCAACTTGTTTATCGAACAATGTGATATTCCTTCAGCATGACAAGCCCAAAAACATTAGCAACATCATATACCAAAGTAACCAAACCAATTGTTGTCCCAATTATTTGGGGAAATGCAACATTCTCCATATCACATCTATATAGTTCAGCACTATCAAAATTTTAAGACTACATCCTTCATGATGGCGCAAACTTTCTGTTGCAGTTGCTAGGAAGCAAACAGTACTCCACTCAAACACTTAAACTGCCAAAACATCAAGTTGTCTAGAACAAATTCTCTCCCCCCTAGCTTCCATCCTGCAAGCGTCCATAAATAGAGCTCATATTGGCTCATTCTTAATTAAGATAGAGTTACGTTATCTCAGAAGGTGGCACTTTTTTAGCCTTTGCAGCAAATTTTTGGCCTATGGCCATTATTATTCCACGAGAATAGAAGACACAAAACATTTAAGGTGTTAAGTAACAAAACAGAATATGTTAACCATCTTCTTGTTAATTTTCAGCAAAAACTGCTAGTTATGGGGGCGATCTACCTGTGTTTTATCATCAATATCCATTACAGGATAGTTTATTCTTTTTTTCGGTGATTGCTGATACTTACATTGTTACTAGATTCATGAGAAACAAAAATCAAGTACTGACCAATTAAAATGCTTTCATGGTTCAAAGTCGCGGTATCGAACCTCGACTCGTAGGTTACTGAGACACATCGGTCGCGGCGTCGCAACGCAGTATCGGCCGATACGCTCAAAACGCTATGTAGAAGGCTCAAAAGTTTTTGAAAAAATCAAGAAAAATTGTAATAAATATAAATATCATCATCCATACATCATATTCCCAAAAATATATTATTTAACACATTAATTATTAGAAAAAAAGAATAATAAGGGCGCTACCGAAAAACATTTGTCATCATGTGCAAAGGAAACACATACAAAAGCATTTGGGACGTATGCAATATTTTGCTCTCAATTTGGACAAGTATTTGGGACCATTGGGGAGGAACAAAAAAGAAAACCAAAAAAAAAATATCTTTCAAGTCTTTTTATGGTTTGACAAAGAAAGAAAAAAGAGGGGTTGTAGGTGTAATTAATATTACAAGAGGGAATCTGACTAAACCAAAAAAAAAAAAAAGGGGTTGTAGATGTAATTAATATTAAAAGGGGGTTCTAACTAAACCAAAAAAAAAAAAAGGGAAAAAAGTATATGTATAGCATATACAGTTGCTCTTACTCAGGCAACGATGAACGAAACAAGAGAGCGAGAGAGAGAGAGAGAGAGGCAAAACGAGAGAGCGAAAAAGAGAGAGAGGCGCAAAATGAGACAGCGAGAGAGATCGAGACTGAGAGAGGGAGACTTTGGGTGGGCTGGACTGGATCTGGTTTGCTGTACAGGTTTTTTTGCAAATCCTTTTAATTTCTGTTTTGGGTTTGTTGATTTCTTCTACTTTAGTTTCTGCATCTTTGGGTCTGTGAATCTACATGTAGAATTGATCTTCTTCTCCTACCCTTTTTTTTTTTCTGATTTTTTACTTTGATCTATTGATGACTCGGTCCGTCTCAAACGATCCGACTCCGATTTTAATCGATATCTCCGAATCATGACCGAGTCAACGCCGATTCGCTTGAGTCTCGTGTTATTAGCGTACCATGTAGCGGTATCGGATCGGTGATGGCTGAGGCAGATACGACTCAACCGAGTCGTATCCAACTCGGCCGATACTTCGAACCTTGAATGCCTTAACACCTATCAAAGCTACATTCCCTTTTGTAACTGATGCAGATACAGGTAAGCCAACTACATTAACTCTGTAACAAAGTCAAAACATTAGACTAACCACAAATGCACTTGCGGTAAATCAAACGCGAAATGGGAGCTCATTGGAAACTGAAGCAAAATTTGATAGCCTCGCACCAATAAGAAAAGTAGTACTTTGGTAATTTTTCCTTGATCAGTTCAGTTATCTTACTCTTTTTTTAGAGGGGATCTCACGTGCCTCCCGGTCGGAAACAATGAAAGAGATCTTGATAGTTTTAATTAGAGAAGTGCATTCAGCAATATTATTATAGACTTGTATGGAAAGAATGTGGACATTTGCAAAGCAAGGAAGCATAGAGTTGATTTCAGTTGCAACTTACACCAATTCCAAAACCAATGTCCTTTATCAAAAGTCCTGTTCATAATTACAGATTTTTTTGGATGACAAGTGCCCCCAGAAGAGGTTTAAAGACTACGCTGGGGAAAGAGTAGCCTCCTGACAGCCGTAGCCATCATATGCGATAGATGGCATTTCTTTTGTTCATTTAACCTCTATGTTTCCATTTGGACAAGACCTCTTCACCAATATCATTGTTTCTTTCTTTTACTCTTTGCTTTCCATGAGCAAATCCCACAATAGGAAAATTAGGATTTCAATATGTCTTGGAAAAACAGAATTTTGATGATTAGGACCCAAAGATTGAAGAGGAAGGAAACAGCGAGAAATTCCTTGGTAACCAAATACTCGTACAGTATTACCAATATTCCACAAATATAGATCACATCTTCTGGTGTCAAGAACTCCAGCAACATGCCACAAATCAGTGGGAGCCATGGCACTAAGGACAATAGTCAAGGAAAGCAGATACTATTCCAGCACCTTCATGTCCCTTTCTCCATTTGTCCTAACACCTAATGGGAAAAACTTATTCATAAACAGTTTTCATTCTTCAATACCCATAATCATTTGATCTACCTACAAGGAAGAGCCTTTATCACCATGAACTTGAGTGCCCTAAAACAGTTCGTATTTGAATAAAAGAAGTAACATGCTTCAGCTGCCAAAATATCATATTGTTGTGTATACCAAAAATGAAACTGCGAGCTCTGGTGTCATGCAGTTCCACATCTTCCAGGCTTATGAAACTACACCCACAGATTCAAACAAACCTTGAAAGCAAATGACGGAAAACCACCGCATTACAAGCAAAGAGTTAGGTGTGCACATGCCCATTTTTCAATATAAGTTACTTAATACGAAAACCGATGATTGTGCAATGACATTCCATCAAAAAAACAAAAAAGAGGCAGATTGTCGAAGAACTAGTTGAAAACAAAATTTAACGCAAGACAAGGTTTATAAAATATACTTACACGTCGGTTTTCACTCTAAATTCACAACTTCTCAAAACCCACATTAATGCCATGAGAATTAACCCACCAAGGAAAGTGAAGCAGAAAAGTAGGTTCAAAACCCAGCTCAAGAAAAACGTAGAATACATAAACAATTTAAAAGAGAACAAAAAATTATTGAAAACCTACGAGTAGAGAGCTAGAGCCCTTTGGATGACATAGATGGCATTGTTGTACTTTGTCTTCAGCCTTCGATCATCGCTTTCTCTGATTGCCTTATCGATCTCCATTATATCTGAAAACTCTCTGCAAGAAAGACGTACTCAAAAACAAAGCAAACCAAATGGGTCTCCCTGAATTCCAAACAAGTTTCATTATTTCCCAAAACAAATCCAAGAAAAGTGGGTTTCTATGAATTCAAGAAAAAATTCATTTACTCAAAAAAAAAAAAAGGTTAACAACAGAGAGAGAGCAATGGCTCTCTATAAAATTGAGCAAAAATTACATGCTTTCTACAGATTCAAAGAAGAGCAAAGACAAATGAGTAGGTACTAATTTCAGAAAACTATAACTCATTGTAATGTTTGAACGAAATTCACCTGTCAAAGGGTTCAAGCGGAGAGGTTGGAGAGGTGAGCAATCTTCTCTGTATTTTTGGAGTCAAGAAAGATACATTCGCGTATAGGCCACCGAGAGATGCACATATTGTCTATATATATATATATATATATAGGGTGGGGCTTATCCATCTCTGAAATCCGCTTCCCACCTCCATTTATCCCACCTCCTGCAAATTACTAAATTCAACTTATTTATACATACACTAAATTTACCACATTTATATCCATGCAATTAAACTACTAAATATATATTCAAAGAAAACGAACCAAAAATAATAATTAAGGTGAAATTTTAATATTTCATGTTGATATAAAATATTTAAAGGTATTTGAGATATTCAGACATATTTTCACCAATATCTTTAGAATATTTTGAGTTGTTTTAAAAAATTTGTATATTTTGACTAATATTTTAAAAATAAATTGTTAAATTTTTTATTTATATTCTAGTTCTTAAATATTTTCGTATCAAAATAATACACCTTATTAGAGGACAGCCTGATTCCAATGATTAAGACCAAGATATCAGTGATTCTCCACAATTGTAGCAGTTTTGTTTTCTTTGTATATTTGTTTCCATATTTGTAATTGTATAGCTACCATGTATCTTCTGTCTATAAATGAAGATCTCCTCACAGCATATTGTGTAGAGGCATTTACTTTACATGGTATCCCACCAAAAAAGGAGTTGAGATAGGCTTGCAATCGACCATTTCTGCTCGAGTCAACAGATCAAGCGCATATTTAGCTTGGCTGAGAAAAAGACCCTTGTCATTTCTAACTACTTCAATCCCCAAAAAATAGTGTAGATCACCGAGATCCTTCATGGAAAATTCTCTGGCCAGTCGATCAATGAGAGAACGCAGCATAGAAGAATTGCTTCCAGTTATTACCATATCATCGACATATAGGAGAAGATAAATAACTC